TAGATCTATGACAACTGCAAAGGCGCAAACACCAGAAGCCGACGGGAGATCTCTTGACTGAACATTCCTCCTAAACCCTGCCCCCTCCCTCCGCATTGGGTTTAACCCTTACTGACTATAACTGCCAACACCTATAAATACTGCGATGCGCAATGCAACTACCACCTCTGATGACGCAAACCTGTACGCTTTTGAAACGTCAGGACGATAAAGCAATGATTTCCGAGATCGCCTTATCTTCTCATATATACATGATTAAAAGAAGGATCTTCAGAAAATTGAATTGTATTCGTGAATTTTCGAACAGTATCACTTGTTCGTCGTCAGACTAAATTAAAAGTGAGGGCTGGGAATGTACCCCTTCTTTTCATCATATCATCTCGGAATGCAACTAAATTCACTTATCCAATATATATTCGTAACTGACCTTCAGGAACCAGTCAACAACAGTCACCTCCGTTTTTGCCTGGGTGCTTCGCAGCTGTATACTTCTGGACAGTTCCTTTTCAAGCGCAGACAGCTTGGTCCCCTGAATGCTAATCTTTATCCGGTCAACTTCGGTCTCAATTTCCGGATCACACTGCCCAGCTGTAAGTCCTGTCTTCGGAGTAATGCCAGGCAAGCAGTGCGCTGCAGTGAGTAGAGTATTTTCTGGCAGATACATAGAACAATGCTGGTGCTGGGGGCATTGTTTTATCTTCACCAAAAGCTTTGCATCGGGGCCGATTGAGGGAAGACCACCAACTGAAGGTCTGAATGAGCCTTATAAATGGTAAAAGATTACCGTTCTCAAATGATTCCATCAGGAAAAGACTGCGTGGACTGCCTCTCAATATACTCATTTCTGCATAACCGCTATCCGAATCTTCTTCTTCTGTTGATCCAGCATCCACCAACTTAAGGAGCCGACAGAAGCTCCATCCGAGGGTATGCTCCAAGTCGCCTTCAACTGTTAGTAACTCCACCACAAGTAAGACGTCATCGTTGAGAGATTCCGAAAACAAGTAAATAACCTAAAAATTGTAAACATTTGCGCTGTTAGGGCAGAGCGGGAGGCGAACATAAGTGGTGTCACAGAAATGTAAAAGTCAAACTAGGTCTTTTGCATAGACCAAAAGGTTTAATGTTAGCATGGTAAATGCGTTGTGGTCAAACATTAAAATCTTGGTTAGCTAGTGTAAATGAATATATACTTGTGGTGAAATTGATCAAAATACTAAATCAGGAAACTTTTATTCGTTTCAATGTACTACATAGAATTAAATCTATTAAAATAAACTCCTGTTGCTCAGGATACTGATGCCAATTGAGGTAAATTCGACCTTATATTGGCGGATTTCAACGAAAAATTGAAAAGTCAGTCTACTAAAAATGAAAAAGTGGGTTATTGTTTAGCCAAATGCAAAGAGGACCTCGAAAGAGAGTCCAACCAGATTTTGTTTACAGATATACTCAAAATAAAGTGTACCAGTACGTGTGTCTCTACACAGGTTTCCCGGATAGAACGGTTATAATAACGGTCTAGGTCACTCTGCAATGGAGCGTTGAAATGTTCATACTTTTACTCAGTACGGTTGTGGTCATGTCTGAGTTATCCGGCCCTGATGAGGTCACGTATTACGCCTCTCCGCGTATAATGATCCGTGGCTACAGATCTGGACAGCATGGCCCATTCTCTTCGCCACACCAAATACCGGATGCCCAAGAACCATTTCGACGTCATAACTGGCAGAGTCGGGACAGGTTTTGCGATGACCCCTCTTCGACGTCTCTTATTGGCTAAGGGTGCTGGATCAAGCATAACCACACGGAACCCGGAAGCAGACAACAATGAGCTTGCCCAAACCGCCTCAGTCGTCTTTCGTGGATGGCCTGAGATATCCTCGCGATGTTATCGTAGCGAGTGTAGACAGTCTCACTTAGGAAGAAGTCAAAGGATGGTCCTCAATCAACGGGGAAAGAATACTTCCAGCTTTGTTCATATTCAAAGTGCACAGCCCAAACTTCACAGTCGGGCGACAATTTCATCTATAATCTGCCCGTTTGGATGCGGCCTAGTTTCGAGGCATTTAGAACTGTCAACTTCTTTATTCTGATAGCTATTAATCTCCGAGGGATACCTTCTTCTGGTCAGGCACAGATAAACCGACCCAAGTAAATAATTCATTCATCGAGACTTGAGGCTAGCAGGCGTCCGGGTGCAATTAAATCAACTAAGCCTATGTACGGCCCTTCGGAGAATCCAGTCAAGGACGCAGTTTAATTCAAATGGTAGCAAGAGGCAAACACCAAACCGGAGCGATTATTCTAGACCAGATCTCACCTAGGGGTGGAACGATAGTAGGCCTTGATTACGGCAAGGACTTTGGTCGATACAGTATAATCGCCACAGGAACTCACAATTTACGGAATCGAACGCAGTAACTAAGTCAACAGAGCAGACAGCCGTCGGTTGCCGATATTCATGACGGAATTGCAGAATGCGCCTCAGTGTGAATATTTAGCTCGTCTGAGAATCGAGTCAATGGTGTAATAGAATGGGCGACTCAATGCAACATTTTCATCTCACGTAGTCAGCAACTTTCGACGAAAAGACTTGTAGATTTAAGCGGGTAATTCATCTTCTCCGGGCACCCTGTTGTTGCGCAATCTTAGCATAGCCTCGGCAGCGTTTCATTCCAAATGAATGTTGCATAGGCGGGAGAGAGAGATAAAACGTTACTGCAGGAGAGTTTTAAGATATAATGATTTGGGTGGCCACTCGAAATGCTCACAGAAGCGATCAACATTGGCTGAATTTTCAACAACAAAGCCGTCATTCATGTCATGAACAGAGTTATGAGTATAATGGACTTATCGCTAAATTGGCGAATAATTTGGTTGGGTTTTCGGGTGTCATCAACATTTAAGACTTTCTCCGCAGGCCAATATTTACTCAAGCCAGCCCCAGTTGTCGTTGTCATCATTTTGGCGAAAGGAATTATATTTGCGGGATATGGCTCTTGTCGTTTAAGGTACTTTTGCTGATCCAGTCACTGCGGCGCCCCTGAGTGTAACACAGAATTGTTTCTACTGCCCGTCAATAATGATTTTGATAAGAACCACTGGTAATTAACTGTTGTGCCGGCTCGGACTCTATAGTAAGACCGGAGTTCGTTGTTTTGGGTCTCAGTAGTGCGAGTTAGTCGAAGTTTTGTGCAATAAAGTCTTTTTATTTGTGGTATCTTCACTGAAGACCTAAGGACTTTATAATTTTCAGCGGACTCCAATGTCCGTCATCTGACTGGACAAATGCTCATTATTTAGATGGTATAATAGCAGCTAATTGTAACGAAGTTAGAAGCACGTGTTGATGACAAGCACTTGCTTTTTGTCAGCAAAAAAGGTCATAGGAGATCGACTGTTTTTCCAGACCAAGGAATCAAAAGCAGCAGCGAAAATAACCATACTCGTAAAAAAGCTGAAAGCTCAAATATCAACAAGGAAATTTTAAAAAAAATGTTGTCTGAGATCTAAAATAGAAGCCCATTATTCAGCGCAAGAGCCAGTTCAAATCGTTTAGAGCATTATTAAACTTCATATAAGGGTCATATTCCGCGCCAGTCTCGTTACCACAAACCTGCGAACTGACGAACTTACCGCAGTTTGCCTTCCGTATTAGATCTACTTGTTCCGGTCGGGTGGGCTCGAGAATTGGCAAATCGAACTGACAGCGGAAGGCTCCACGTTCTAGCCCCTCAGTTAATATTTTACGACTAGAAAATTTGCAGATCCAACGTTCAATCCTTGCTTTACCTTTAAAACTGCACTATTCCACTTATACAAGCCTTATACGAGCTTACTCACGTACAAGACAGTGACCGATGAAACGGTACAAGGCAGGTCTTTTACGGAACCACGCACCGTAGAGGGTACAAAAACTGCCAGTGCTCTTACAATCCTGCACGAATCCCATGAAGTAAGTTAAAAAGACAATGGCCAGCGAAAATTTTGGATTCGATTGCGCGTCGAAATATTATCGAAGATTTCCTCATCGCCTAAAAAGAGCACGTACATAGTAAAATAAGACAGCTATTACGCTTAGTTTCCCTAACAAATGACCAATGGGCTTCGATGGGTTACTGGTTTATGAAGAATATAAGATATCGGGAAAGAGTGAGGTCGATACCTAAGGAATCTTCCGGACGTGAAATCAATCCGTTTACCATTCTACAAATTTGCTTCTAGCTTGGCGCACTGAACCTCATAGCATGGAAGACTGCCGACTGGTAGGCTAACTAAATAAGCTTTTGCCCAACCATCAAACCGCAAATTTTACCTCCTACTGTAGCCAAAATAGTGCCCTTTACTGAGTCGCGTATTGTACACGATGGATTAGTTGGTGATATTTCGACCCACCATCGAAATAGGCGATAGAGTTTGATCACTGTCAACCACTGGGAAGGTTCTATTTACCACAATATTTTGACGATCATTGCATGAAATGTTGTCAGGTAGAGGTGTTAACTGCAAGGATATTTTCTTGAGAGATCTGTGTGATGCCTTTTAAGCCACCTCATTGGGCTTTGCTGCGCCTGTGTATGGCATTAAAACGTTCAACTACTTCGTCTATGAAAATATTTACTGTCTTAATCATGCTTTTCAATGGAATGGGGTAAATTAAGCAATAGGAAGTGGAGCAAGTTCTCTGAATCCACGCTTCACTCTGAATATCATTATACTGTCTGGTCGGAGGAAGAGCAAACTGCATGGCTTGGGATAGTATAGGAGCGGCATTTGCGTCAAGGCTATTAGTAATCAAATTAATTAGTTCTTTTACAGTCTCCTGACTAGTCATATTTGGATTAGCCGTTAAGAATCAGTGATCAGCTTACAGAGAAAATAAATACAAAAAGTACCATTATGACACATCTAAAATTTGTCATAAGCATGTAATAAAGATGTCCTCATGGGATACGACATTCTCACTGGCTCCTCTATTTGCATTAAAGGAACAGGAAGGTTTTGAGGCTCCTGTTAAACAACAACGGATTATGTACAAGATGGTCTGCAACGGAGACCATAGACAGATGTACTTCGGGCAAATTTATTTGGCATTACTGAGGTGATCATGCAGTCTGTCCAGGTTTTGCCGCGTAAAATATGTATCAGGAATAAAAAGCAGATTTATGGAACGCTCTGACAGCGAATTTCACATTTAAACATTTACGACTATTTTTTCTAACAGAAAGTTTAAAAATATGTTCAATATTCAGTATCAGTCTATGAGATTTCAATACCGATAGAAAAATATGGATTAGATAGACTTTAAGGCTTTCATAAAATGAAAACCGACAAGGGTCAATAATTCAATGTTTCATATCTACAACAGCAAACATTTGGAATTTTCCCAGAGACCACATTGAAAACTAACACGGAAAATGATACTTAAAAAAACCAGGTAGTTAAGTTTAGTATGGCGTTTAAAAAGTATAAGATGTTGAAGACAAATTGTCTAGTTCCATCTGGATAGAAAAATATTTTTATTATAATATTATAACTGCAGCAGCTAGAATAATCAGCTAGAATATTCTAACTGATTGGAATTATGCTAAAGTTGTCGATATCGCAAAGATTCTTGCCTCAGAAACGGGAACCTCCAGAATATCTGTATGGCTGTTATCAACTGGGTACGCTTCGCTTGAGAATCCATTTCCAAAAAAGTTTCCTCGTTGTGTGTTGTAAAGCTGAAAACACATACGCACATCCTTGACATGAATGAACTAAATCAAAATATCGAGAGACATAAATATGGTCACTTGATTTGGTATAAAAAGCGAGGAAAGACATATGCATAAGTACTCTGGAAGCTCATCGTTGTTTGCCAAAAGTAATGAATCATCCACGGCGATAGGTTTCCAAATCATGTTTTATCGCTACAGACGCTAATTTCGAAAACGCGGGAGGTCAATATAACAGGATGGTCAAGTCTGAGATTGTAGGCGCAGAAAATTAATGGGATGGCCGCGTACAAACATAGGTTCGTGCCTCTGATCTATCTGTACTAAAAGGTACTAGAACCCCTTACAGAGTGACCTAGAATGCATGCATCTTACAGTCAAAGTATGAAAATTGCTGATATAATTTTCTTTATTTATGTTTTTTTTTCACCTCCATCTAATGATTATACATAAAATCCAGAATTACACTATAAATAATAGCTTTGACAGATTGTGCATGCTAAGCCATATCAGCGAACGACTGCCTTGATCGTCTCACCTGCAGGAAAATAATGTTTGCAAACGATCCGAAGATATCGAATTCAGTTGAAAAACTGGGGATGGACGGAACTTAAAAACTCTTGGATCGCTGGCAGATAGGTGTTATAAGGGGCTACTGCAGCTCAAATTCAACAAATACTAAATATTCTAGGACAATAACATTAACATAGGAAGGAGGTCAGCCAGTCAGTCAGTATATTTAAGTGAAAAATAGGCTTCCCTTCTAGCACAATCCTCGGATTCCCCCGTGCTCTTGACGAGGTAATTCGGGGGAATACGGGGGAATCCGGGGATGAAAATTTTTGATTAATAAGTTATATCTACAGAGCTCATTTTTCAGTATCAAGTTTTTTATCAAGAAATAATTAATCACATTATCCTCTAATAAAAAAATTAACTTGGGGTCTAAAAAAAGAGAACAAGGGGGCATCCCGCGGCGAAAACATTTTTCAGGCGGCAG